TTAGCTCTTTTGTGTTGCTATTATCTTCATAACTAAGAGGTAACTCTTAGCTCTTTTGTGTTGCTATTATCTTCAAAACTAAGAGGTAACTTTTAGTTCTTTTGTGTTGCTATTATCTTCATAACTAAGAGGTAACTCTTAACTCTTTTGTGTTGCTATTATCTTCAAAACTAAGAGGTAACTCTTAGATATTTTTTGTGTATGAAGTATGGAGAATGTATCACGCTCAGAGTGTATGGTTCTATCGACATTTGACCAAGCAACAGCATGTGCAGAGTGCATGTACTTGAGGTATAAAACTAAATTAAAGCTTTAGGCATCATTTGAATGAAGGGTACATTTAAAGGGTTCATTTGAAGGGTTCATTTGAAGGGTTCATATGAAGGGTTCAGCTGAAGGGTTCATTTGAAGAAGAAGGACATGCATAAGCCGCCTATTTTGGACTATAAAAATGACAACTTAAAATAAATTTGCGTTGATAAATTCTCGGTAGCAACTTAACAATCATTTACTTAGAAAGAACTTCGAAATGTTGAATGTATCACAGAGAAATAACCCGAAATAAAATTTCGACTTATTTCCTGTAAGGGTTAATTTAAACTATCGTAAATGATTACGATAGTTGCAATAACATACAACTTAATATGTTGCTAATAATGAGTCAACTTAAATTTTGTAGCGATTCGTTCTTTGATTTTCTTATATATAACGAATAGAGGTAATATGGCTTCGTTTGTCTAAAAGCCAATGTGTATGTGTATTACCCGTAGATTAAGTTACCTTGGTCATACATCACTCGAACGTGAGCGATGCGGTAAATTACCGGTCACGTACACAATCTTATACAAATTTCATAAAATTTGTATGTTTGTTTGTGGGTATGTGTGTGTGTGTTTGTACCCTAGCGCCGCAAATATATAAGGGATGTTGGAAACAGTATTCGAATATTATTATAATAATAATAATTAAAAATAATATAATAATAATATGATATAATATAATATAATATAATATAATATAACATAATATAATATAATATAATAATTATATTATTATAATAGAATTATTCGAATATTATTATCAATTATTGGAATATTAAATTCGAATTCGAATTTGAATACTAACTGGGCCAAAAAGTTTTCTTAGTGGGAGAATACCGAGGCTTTGTACGACTATGAGGGACGAATTGTATTCGAAAATAAAATTCAATTTTTAAATTTAAGTGTGTAAATATAATTTAAAAAACACGCAAAATATTTATTTTCATATTTAAAAAGGAAATTTAAATTGGAGTTCTAGTTCAATGCAGACTGTGGGCTTGAATGGATTTTTTAATTTAACATATACGTATTAGCTTTATTATTATTGAAGGTATTCGGGATTTTAAAGTTGTCGGAATCATTGATCGAAGACAACGTCGGGCTAAACTGATAGCTGAAAGAACTTAATAATTGAGGTTGGAATATGCTTAGCGCAAAAAAAACAATTAAGCTAGTCAAAATCTGTGGCTAATTTCAGAAATTACTTTTAGAAAAGTAATGTAAAGAAGTTTCAAGTCGATTGAATCTTGCCATTAGTATGCCTATTTATTTCAAGCTCATACCTTTTTATTGATCGATATTGTTTTACAATATGAAGTAAATGAATTATTAATGAGCCATATGTAGATAATAGTTATAATCAGAGTAGGTGGACTGACTTCTTGACATTAATTACTAAAGTTATTCTTGTTGAAAAAATAAAAAAATAATGTTTTTTACCGATATAAATCCTAGGCATTTTCTACTTCTGAACTCGCATCTCGATGCTATTTCACATTCCATGTCACAACATTCCTGTACTACTGTATATTTGCAATGAACATAGGAAACAAAACAATTATTTCTACTTATGTATCAGGATTGAAAATACGCAATGTAAGGTTACGATATATGAATTGATTTTTTTTTCACTTGAAACTATAATTATTTCAGTCACCTAACTAGGAAAAAATTTTCAAACTAATATTTTCGCTGGAAGCTTGATAAATTTTGCCTAAATGAGGTACAATTGATTATCTATGCAAACACTAATAAATTGAGGCAAATTCATAGAGAGTCAGAGAAAACTAAGAATAGCCGAAGAAAGAAGCCGGACTCACCGTTTTGACAGTCCCGTCTGCAGTGCTTGCACAACAACAACTTCAAGGTACGCAAGAAGTTCACGGTGAACTTCGGTACTCTGCCGACGAAAGGAAGATGGCCCGAATTCCCCACTGGAAGAATTCGTGCATTGGATTTCTTGGCCTCTGCTTCTTCATCTTCGCCGGTGGTTGACGACACTTTTTCAACATCTTCGTCTGTATCGGAATTCGATTTGTTAGTTTCCAATCCACCGTCGCTTGGTATACGACGAGCGCCAGCCGCCGCGGCGAATGAGTGGCGGAAGTTAGGCAGTTTTGGAGCTTCAGAAGCCAAGCCGTGGCAGCTCAACGATTCTTCTCTGGAACCGTCCGTTCTCTGAGTAGTGTTAACTGAACTAGACAGTAAAGACGCTAAAGACGGCATTGAGTAAGACAAAGGAAGAGACGCAGTCGAGGAAGACTTGCGCGAAGGCACAGAAAGACGCGAGGAACTCACCGAAGAGCAGCGACGCTGGCCAGCAAGGTTGGTGGTCGAAGACACTTCCGATGTGGAAGACGGCAGATCAGTCCTGTTAGTAGACTGAGATTGTGATGTAGCAAGGACATTCCTAGGTGAATTTTCTTCCACAGCGGCATAATAAAGTCTTTCAAAAAGCGAACGACTAGAAGAAGGATAACAATGCGTTTCATAGAAGGCATGACATAGAGGTAGAGGTGGCTGTTTGTTGATGGTATCACGCGGTAACTTTGTTGCGGATGGCGAAAGTTGACAAAATGACGATGAGAAAGGTGGTGCAAATGGTGAGGAGTAAGAGGAAGGCAGTGGTCTGGCAGGAGACGACAAAGCGGCTTTGAGGTAGAAACTTCGGCTGTTGTCGTCTTGGTTGCTTCGCGACAAGCCTGTGCAGTGTCGCTTAGCTGGCGGCACCGGAAAATCATTTGGCGGTCTTTGTTCTAATAAGAGATTACGGTCCTCAGAAGAAATAAAACGAGGATAAGTCGATGATTCACCCACTTTTTGGCGGGAACTAAATCGGCCAACGACGTCTGAACAGAGAAGAGCTTTTAGCTGCTTGTTGGGAATGTCGGCAGAGGGTGGAAGCGATGCAGGAGACAACTGAGGAATGTCAACGGCTGCAGCCGCTTGCTCAGAGGGGAGCACTGAGGAATTTCCGACACTTTGAGATAATGCAGAGCAAACCGTGGGAGCATCTGGTTCCGATCTTTCAACACTTTTATTTGCTGCGACAGTTTCACATGCCTCCGGTACACTGGTTGCCACCTCGAAATTTTCCTTCGAATCATCTGTAAAAGTTGGCTCATTCGCGAGTCCTCGAGGGCGGTTGCCGACAATTGGTTCCTCGGGCACAGAATTTGCGTTGGGATCGATTTTTTCATCGTGAAGAGCATCGTCTGCGGGATTGTCGTCTGATATTTGGTGAGCAATCTGAACTCTGAGCTGAAGAAGCAGCTTTCTGTAGTTCTCATCACTGTTGGGAAAGAAAATAAGAAGTTGAATGTTAAGAGGGAATCGGAACAAGTCCCTTTATTTTTATACGTAATGGAAATGATGACTGGATAGTTAAATTTGGGTGTTCAAAAATTTTCAGTTACGATGAAAGTATAAATTAAAAATTGCCAAGTCCTAAGAAAATTTATTTTGACACAAAACTTATGCTAGCCCATCGGAGCAAATTATTATTTCTTGAAGCAAACGTGACAAAAAGATACAAATTTGTTCTTACTTTTAGATGGTTAACAAAAGTCTCAATGATTAGGACGGCCGGATCTCCCGTTGGCATCTTGATTACCACACTGATAACTAAATAATTATCGCTCACTGATACAGTGGGGCCAAGCCCACTGACATAGTAGGGCCATGCACCCACTGACATAGTGGGGCTTCCACCTCACTGACACAGCGGGGCCTGCTCCCACTGACACAGCGGAGCCATGCGCCCACTGACACAGCGGAGCCATGCGCCCACTGACACAGCGGAGCCATGCTCCCACTGACACAGCGAGGCCATGCTCCAACTGACACAGTAGCCATGCTCCCACTGACACAGCGGGGCCATAGCACCCACTGACATAGTGGGGCCATGCTCCCACTGACACAGTAGCCATGCTCTCACTGACACAGTGGGGTCATGCGCCCACTGACACAGCGGAGCCATGGCACCCACTGACATAGCGAGGCCATGCTCCCACTGGCACAGCGGAGCCATGAGCCCACTGACATAGTAGGGCTATGACCCCACTGACACAGCGGAGCCATGCTCCCACTGACACAGTAGGGCCACGACCCCTCTGACACAGCGGGGCCATGCGCCCACTGACACAGTAGCCATGCTCCCACTGACACAGCGGGGCCATGCTCCCACTGACACAGCGGGGCCATGCGCCCACTGACATAGTGGGGCCATGCTCCCACTGACACAGCGGGGCCATTCTCCCACTGACATAGTGGGGCCATTCTCCCACTGACATAGCGGAGCCATGGCACCCACTGACACAGCGGAGCCATGCGGCCTCTGACATAGTGGGGCCATGAGCTCACAGACACAGCGGAGCCAAGCGCCCACTGACATAGTGGGGGCCATAGCACCCACTGACACAGCGGGGCCATGCGCCCACTGACATAGCGGGGCCATGCGCCCACTGACATAGTGGGGCCATGCTCCCACTGACATAGCGNCGTATTAGGTTCTCAGGTCTTCCGTATTAGGTTCTCAGGTCTTCCGTATTAGGTTCTCAGGTTTTCCGTATTAGGTTCTCAGGTCTTCCGTAGTGGGTTCTCAGGTCTTCCGTATTAGGTTCTCAGGTCTCTGGTATTAGGTTCTCAGGTCTTCCGTCTCAAGTTCTAGGCTCTCAAATGGCGACACGTGACACTGGGCTGGTATGTGGAGACAATCTTGGCCACGTTATCGGAGGCCACCGATGACCCGGTGATTATTTGCACGGCACAAATAATGTGCGACAGAAGTGCAGAAGTACAAAACTCTAAACGTTTTTATTTGCATGTATGTTATATCATTATAATTCAGGTAGAAACAGCGTTATGAAACAAATCTACTTAAATTGAACATATTCTGGCGAGTCACGCACTAAGAGAAAAACGTAATTTCTTGCAAAGCGCTGCACTTTGTAAACAGTAAATGCATTTCATTAGCCTAAAATTCCTCGGAGAGAATACAAATCTTCTTGTATGTTTGATCAGTAAAGATCTCAACGTGATCTCCAGCCACATTATTCATTATTAAAAATCCACAATAAAATCACACTTATTTGCCTAAGTAAAATCACATGAAGGTTTAATCACCACAGGGAAATCATCAGTAGCCAGCGTGGCCGACGATAAACCTGCCATAACCGCCAGCGGGCCGACGATAAACCTGCCATAACCGCCAGCGGGCCGACGATAAACCTGCCATAACCGCCAGCGGGCCGACGATAAACCTGCCATAACCGCCAACGTGGCCGACGATAAACCTGCCATAACCGCCAGCGTGGCCGACGATAAGCCTGCCATAACCGCCAGTGTGGCCGACGATAAACCTGCCGTAACCGCCAGCGTGGCCGACGATAAACCTGCCATAACCGCGGACGCGTGCCGGGCAATCGATGCGGGTCCGGAAATGCCAACGTCGGGGGCGGCGCGGACGCCTGCATCGCGACTCCATTTTGTTGGCAAATGTGGCGGACATGACAGTGGCATGACACAGTGGCATGATATACTTAGTGGCATGATACAGTGGCATGATACACGTAGAGGCATGATACACTTATTGACATGATACAGTGGCATGATACAGTGGCATGATACAGTGGCATGAAACACCTAACGGTAGGACACACTTAGTGGCATGATACACTTAGTGGCATGATACACTTAGTGGCATGATACACTTAGTGGCATGATACACTTACACTAAGTGGCATGAGTCATTTAGTGGCATGATACACTTCGTGGCATGATACACTTATTGACATGATACAATTAGTGGTATGACACACTTAGTGGCATGACACAGTGGCATGATACACTTAGTGGCATGACACACTTAGTGGCATGACACACTTAGTGGCATGACACAGTGGCATGACACAGTGGCATGACACACTTAGTGGCATGATACATTTATTGGCATGATGCACTTATTGGTATGACACAGTGGCATAATACACTTAGTGGCATGGCACACTTGGTGGCATGATACACTTAGTGGCATGACACACCTAGCGGCATGACACACTTGTTTCTATGTCCAGCGCGTGGCACAAAATGGCGCCTGGACTAAAATGTGTCTTTCTTCCCGCCTAATAATCTAATTTATCGTATTTTTCGATATTTTTTGATATTATTTACTGTGATTAATTATTATATTATTATGTTATTTTTTCATCGTATCAGCAGAAATAACGAGTAGTTCTCGTTGACGAAAATAATCAACGAGCGCCAAATTCAGACATTGAAGAATTTCCAGATTAATTGAATTTTGTTTATAGGAGAAAATATAATGAGAAAGAGAAGATAATTGTTATTTGTAGTACGTAATCGTTAATGACAATTATGTCATCAATGGCATTCATGTTTGTAAGATATAAGATGCAATATAGGATCATGATTTTACATAGAATTTCATCATTAAATAATTCGCGAAAATTCAATTAAAAAATTTAATTCGCGAAAATTTACCTATATTTAAACCGTGATTGCAAAACATGTAATAACTGTAACCTGCTTGCACAATAATGTCATAATTGTGACATGTTGGTTCTGACTCTTGCTGACACACGTGCTGCTCGCACGACTCCAGCAGCTATGCTAAGACTCTTCTAACCAACATCAACACTTTAACGCTAAATTAATTATTTCACCAGAATATTAAAAAATAATAATTAATATAAAAAAGTAAATAAAATTAACATAAACAAATATATTAAATTAACATAAATAAATTAAGTTAAATTAATATGAATAAATTAAATTAAATTAATATAAATGGAATAAATAAATAAATCAATTATTCCAACAGAAATACCACCAAGAATTTCGCGATTCTTCCCTGCAACGTACATGAACCTGCAACCTAAAACCTCTAACCTGCAACCTGGGAAAACAGGTTACAGCGATCTAGCGGGACTGTAACTTCAATTTCAAGAGAAACGCGTAAAATAAAAAAATGTTACAACATTAAACAGCAAGAAAAATGGAGAACTTATCAAATCATCTTTGATTTAACTGGATTGAGTGATGTGAAGGGTTTAAGAGAATGGGTTGATTGGATGACTAGTTGAACAAGTAGTTAGTTGATTGAGTGCGTTGATTATGTTAGGGCATTCATGTTGGTATGTTGAATTGAAGTTGGACACCAAAATGTAAAATAAATGCAAACGTGAATGAATTTTCTAAACAAACAAACACTCGAAAGTTTATGAAGCTTTACGAAGAGTGTCAATAGACAAACAATGTGGTTCATATGAACCCCTGCCATTTTTATTGACGATTTTAACCGATGATGGGCAAAAAAAATTACCCCCCCTAAAAGATCCAAAAGAAGCTTCGTTATCATGCCTCTGCCAATTGCCAATCATTAAACCATAGTTTCATACATATCATTACCCCCTACCGATCTGCCCTGTAAAATAATAAAAAATAAGCATTTAAATGAAATATTAACGCTGACCACGAGATTGACGATCTTTCCGCATACTTTAAAAAAATAGAAGTGGCAATATCTACCAAATAAAAAAGAGAACTTGATTAGATTAAATTTATATATTAGATTGTTTCAATGTATATTTGAATGTTCAAAGTTAAATAATATAGTTTTTTGTTACTCCTTTAATATGATAAATTTAAAGAATAGACATGAGTTAATTTAGAACACAATCATTCATCCATGCAGACAGACTTCAAACAGTTTTAATGTCTGCTCATCTCTATATGCTTGCCCGCAAAAGGATTAACATTTATTCCATAAGAACATGAACTCGAGAACATTCATGCACAGCAGAACATTTTTCTCTCTTCATTGATGATATCCAAAATTTACCCCCACATTTGCGCCAATATTTGCCCCCAACATTTGTGCCAACATTTTCACAAAAAATTTCTCCAACATTTGCCTCTACATTTTCCCCAACATTTGTGCCAATATTTTACCAAAAATTTTCCTCAACATTTGCCGATCTTCGGCAACATTTTCCAGCCACGTTTACCTGGCGGGTGTATTAGATGTCTCGTTCATGTCAGGAGAGAATCGTGCAAACTTGCAAAATTTTCAAATAAATTTTGTGTTGACCACTCGTAAAGCTCTCGTCTGAAGCTTGCAAATGGAGAATTAAATTCCGTGTTTACGTTATTGCATTGATCAGTTTCTCATTAAAAACTTTTCAATAATCATGTTATTCGGAATTTTTTAGTATCACTGGGCCTTATTATTCATAAAAAAGGAAATTACGGCTATTTTTGTATTCTTTATTCCAAGATTTCTCGTAAATTTTGCCCACAAAGGATGTTTAGAAGTTGAAAAAATCGCTCCCGGGAAGTCAGTGACGCTGGTAGGAGCGCAAGCCTCGCACACCCTGCCTCGACGGCTGCCCTTGTGTCACTGACCTCGAGTCCTCGACGACCAAAGATCTTCTTTGGTCGTCGATCACTTTTGTCCTTCGATCACTTTTGTCCTTCTTTGGACACATTAAAATTATGTCAGAATGAACACATTATCATCAGAAAATTACTAATAACTACACTACAGTGACATGACACGTAGTGCATTCAGTGCGAGCCCGGAATCTTACAAGCTTACCATGCAATCAACGTTGATTAAATGTTGTTTTGTTAACGTTTAAAATTAAATGTGTTGGCTGCTGAACGATTGCATTATGCAATTGGTAGTGTAGTTAAAAAACGAACATTATTCTCACCTTCAATATTTAGTGCTCAGAACATTTATATACTTGCCCATTTCTCTACTTAACGATTATTATGTATGAGATGATTACTCAACTGCCAGTTAGGCAATCACTGAATAATTGTCGAATTGCCCTTAGCAACCAAACTTCAGCAGCACACAAAGCGAAAAATTTTCCACCTTTTATACGCAGCGTTTCCCTTTCTTTATCCCCTTCTGCCTTTAGAAAATCAGGATAAAGGCAAGCGTTGGGCAAGCGTTACGCCATCACTCGTACAACGCAGCAGCGCCATCGTTATTATAACGCTGCACCAGCATCGTTATCATAACGCTGCACCAGCATCGTTATCATAACGCTGCACCATCATCGTTATCATCATAACGCTGCACTAGCATCGTTCTCATCATAACGCTGCACCAGCATCGTTATCATCATAACGCTGCACCAGCACCGTTATCATCACAACGCTGCACCATCATCGTTATCATCATAACGCTGCACCATCATCGTTATCATCATAACGCTGCACCATCATCGTTATCATCATAACGCTGCACCATCATCGTTATCATCATAACGCAGCACCAGCATCGTTATCATCATAACGCTGCACCAGCATCGATATCATCATAACGCTGCACCATCATCGTTATCATCATAACGCTGCACCATCGTCGTTATCATCATAACGCTGCACCAGCATCGTTATCATCATAACGCTGTACCATCATCGTTATCATCATAACG